ACTACTCCAATAATATTCCGGGAGGTCACTGTCATGGGTCAAATGGACAATTTTTTGAGAATCGTCAATACTTTTTTTCTTGACCTTAAAACCCATCGTCGGTTTAGCCAGAGTTGGGGCGTTATACTGCGTAGAGCTTTAAAGGTGGCAAACATGCAGAAAAAATGTCTCGTCTCAATATGATGAGCACAACGTTTTTCCAATGTAATTAATTTTCCTGATCTCAAATTCCGTTATCAGCCTAATCGGAGCTTGGGCACTCTACCGTAGTGAGGATCTGAAGATAGCGATAATGCCAAAAACTGTCTTGACCCAAAATAAGGCCGGCAGCGTTTTTCTGGTGGATTAATTAAAATTAATTTTTTAAAAAATATAATTAAATGCAGGCTAGAAAAATTATATAAATTTAATATAAGTAAAGATGACAATCTTTCACCTTTTGTATCAGGGTTAATTAACAATTAGAAGGAGTTCAATGTCTCGAAATTTATCGCCATATACGAATTTTTATGATCTCAAAATCCGTTGTCGATTTGCGCGCAGACGCCACAATCTTTGGAATTATTTATGGAATCAATTTAAATCTACGGAAATGTATCGATTCTTGGACGGGCCAGGTGCTCCGACGAGAATCGATTATTTAGCATAGGTTTAAATGGAGAAAATTCGGTGTTGCCAAATTGCTGGATCCGCCTCTGAATTGATCGCGTGACAAGCGTGAAACCGGCGGTGGCGCTGATACCAGACCTGATTTCTTTACCCACTCCCAACTCTACTCAATCGAGTTGCTCGATCGCATGAAAAAAATCCATACATTAAAATTTCATGGCTGATACTTCGTTTAAAAACTACATTTTTGTACAAAAAAAAAAACCTAGGATAGATCTGGATGAAACGATTAGAAATAGAGCTTTGAGACACAAAAATTTTAATCGAACCAGTAGAACACTTAGAAAAAAAGAAAGAAAAAAAACTCATCAGCTACCCAAGTAAACCTGAGAAAAATATTCCACATCAAGTCTAATGTCAAGTCATTATTCACTTTTTTAAGATTCAATTGAATTTTCATTACAGTATCCCAGGTATAGAAATTCAAACTGGAGGCCACAGTTTATTTTACCTAAATACACGGACCTTGAGAGCTCATTTGCGTTTTTAAACACGTCGCAGCTCCTGCAGTAGCCGTGTGGGTGGGGAAACCCCCCCCCCCCCCCCCGTCTTCAACGGGATATCCTACGGATGGTCAACATTCGAGCGGGTTTGGTGGACTTAGGTTGCAGTTCAACAACCCTACGCAGTATTGCCACCAGAGCGGAAAAAAACTTACCGTATCTCTTAGCCACAAAAAAGATGAAATAAGGGCAAATTGACAACACCGCGTTCTCATAAATCTCGCAATTCGTAGGTCATGCCAGAGGCTTGACGCTCCAACCCTCCTCCCGCATTCCAAGTCGAAATTGCCTCCTCCCCCTACTACAAACAATGGTTGCAATTTTGCGAGAAATACTATGACGTCATCGATGATAGCGCGGAAAACAATCCTAGGAGCCGTGCAGGCTTGACAACGCGCTCGCTCGCTAAGTTGAGCCAAAAAATTAAATTGTCAGATTGTGCCTTCAAATTCGTATGTTCCCTGCAGTTTTAAAAACGAGGGAAAAGTGACGAATCATCGCTACATTTTGGCACGGAGGTAAAGAGATCGGTCGAGTCGAGTTGATACTGTGGCATGTCCAACACACCGGCGTGGAATGCCTGAAACGAGAGAATGTCCCTTCAGAATTTGAAAAATGGTGTTTATTGCCCGACTAAACCGGCGCGTAGTTTCGTAACGCCCGAACACTGAATGAGAAATGCTTGTATTTACGGAACCGCGAATTTAAACGTATGCAATCAAAACTAGAAGGCTACGTTTAAATTACATTATCCACCTGGAGCGAGACGCAATCTAGAGGGGCCTGACGAAAAAAGTGGGGAGAAGAAGAGTGAAAATTCAAAAATATAATGAACATAGTAGCGGCAGTGTGCCTATCTATACTCGTAGTCGGAAAGTTATCGCAAATAACTCTCGCATTGCGTTTGGTGCAATGTGAGAAGTATTCATGCGGCCTTGTAGGCGCTAATATGCCCTTGACGCCGACCGCACTGTTTGGCGCAATGCATGAAGTATTCCTGCAGTCTTGCAGGCGCTGATATGAGTTTGAAGCCGACCGCAACGTGTTTGGAGCGATTATTCGCATGCAGCATGTTTAGCAGCGCGTTAGGATGATCACGGCATCGAACAATGGGTCTTAAGAGGCCCATGCTGTGTTTCGACGCCGTATGAGCACACCAACGTTGCCTCATTTCTCCCGAAAAATATTTTCGTTGAGAAAAGTTAGGAAAGTTCTGTACGTTCACTTTTTCAGGTTGAATGGATCATTGAACAAGATACGAATTTAAGCACTCTGATTCATGATTATTCACCAGAATTTCATGTATAACACGATTTGCGCAACGAAAACTATTAAAATCAACTTCCTGCTAAAATATCAATGTTTTTATTGTCAATTGGTTACGGGAACTTTGAATTGCCCGGTCACAAGAAATGCATTTCAGGAACTCAATCCCATCATCAGCAATGTATCTTCAGGTAATGCTCTTGAAATGGGATTGAGTTCCTGAAATGCATTAGCACCTAAAAAATGAAATTGTAAAAAAAAAGAATGCATCTTTAGCTCACGTTTTTATCACTTACTACCGAAATAGTTGAGCCAAGTGAAAAGAAGAAGAGAGGCCCGTTACGGAATACTAACACTCTCACAATCTCTTGAGAACGATTCAAATACTCTATGCCTGCGAGGGAAGAGCCGCAACAAGTCTACGGAGAAACACTAGACCAAAAGACAATATGCGTCCGAAATCAATTCTTTTAATCCGCGGGGATGAAGGCGGTTCCTGCCGTGAATGCCCGGAGCGTAACTTTATCAATCGGTCAAGCGGAATTAATATCGGAAGTTCCAGACCGAAAACTTCCTCTGTTGACACTATTGGAGCTCGCAGCTTTGAAGCGGGAATTAAAGCTTGAATCCTGATCGTGTCTCTGTCGCACAGTGGATTCAGTCAATTTCAGAAGTCGGACAAAGTTTGGAAACTTTAAAAGCTCGTAACTCCATTATTACAAAACGTGGAGATCTTAAAAGCTGCCCAATTGGTTATCTCGTAAAATCATATACTTTAGAAAGCACCCCTCAAACTCGAAAATATCACAAAACAAACATGTAAATTTGCAGTTTTAGTAAAAATAAGCATGTCCAACCTCTCTCATTGACTCGATCCAATGCGCGTCACTCTCCTCGGGTGCTTCTTACATTGGCCCTTACAAAATAACGGCGTAGAGTGAACAACTGAGTGCTGAGTTCTAACAGTTTTGATCAAATGGAGCCAGCCAATGAGGCAGTAGTGGCGAGTCCTACAACTTTAGGGCCCAACCCTACAAAGTACAGACTGTAGGTCTCAGCAGAGCTGCCTTATTAGCTGGATCCAGTTGATCTAAACTATCAGGGTTCAGTACTAAATTGTTTTCCCGTAAATGTATGTGCCTTTGGTTACTTCGGATTAATTGGATTGCATTTTGCAAGAAGGAACCAAGATAATTCCGATGTTGCTGAAATTGTGTAACCTAGATTCTTTGCAATAAAATTACTGAAATCATGCAATAAATTAAATTTACCAAGGTAATTTCCGTCGTGAATTCATAGTTTACTGGGATTAAGGATACAATTAGTTTAGAAGATCAGTATATATTTGCAAGGTAAAAATGGTTGCACAATCTTAGCGACATTAGAATGCTCTTGGTCCCTTTTTGCAAAATGCAGTCCAATTATCTTTCCGTTATATCAACCAAAATTCGTTGATCAACCAAATTTCCTATCAAAACAAACTGGTCAAATCGACTGAAAAATTAGACGTTTCAGGGTGAGAGAGTGATAGTTTACATAAGTTGCTTACTCACACTCATGAGTATATGCTTATACGCATACGACAAGCGCTTACATATTTTCCTTCAATTGAGAGAGTAGGCAAAACTCGCTCCCACGTGCTTGAATAGTGGTATCGGGAAGAATGGCCTATCACGTTCCCCTGATTATCGCTTACCGCTCATTAGCTGCGACTTCCGAGCGGCTATCGCAATGGATTGTCATCAACTAGGTACGGGTTTGTTCTTATAGATGTTCACGCCTTTGGTTTCAAACAGAACGTTTGGTAAATTTAACATATGACTAATCTGACTAATAAAAGAGATCAATTATAAACCGAAAGGTGATCTAGCCAAGAAAGATTGATCGATATTTTGTGTTACTTTAAGTTTTATTTCCCATTTAAACACACAATTGAATCAGTGAGTTCGAAAACACACCAACTCGGGTTTTTTCGGTTTTCACTTTTTTATGGTTTAGTAACACTTATGGATAGAAGCATCTGCACGCAAAAGGAAATTTCGAAATTTGCTATCGGAAGTGCTCGAAACAGCGACGGGAAAAGGGAAGAATCGAAGTATTTCATTGGAAATACCAATTTTTGGCCATTTCAAGGAAATGGGTGACCATCCGATTTTGCGGTTTTCTTTTTTCGGTTCAGTATACCTTGTACCAACAAGTTATATAAACATTCAAGCATTATTCAGGTCAAAAAGTAGAAATTGTTCAAGGCAGACTATGAAAAATCAGTATCTGAAAGTCTGTGAGAACGAAAACACACAAACTCGAAAATTTTTAAACGCTTAATTCTCTGTCATCAAACATGGTGTATCGATTTCAACTTGGTGCTTTACAAAGTCTCTAAGTACTTGTCCTTTGGCACCAAAAAGGTTTTTCTTAAACTAACTTCTTCGCCTGCTGCGCAGTTTTAGGTGTTTCCTGAACAATTTTTTTTCCGAGTTGGTGTGTTTTTGAACTCACTGATTCAATTTAGATGAAATGTTTCACTGTATGAAAGTGTACTATAAAGTTCTAAAGTCTTACCTGATGGAATTTTCACGCTGACGCCTAGGTTCAGAGCTTGCAATTTTGCCAAAGCCACCTTCTGGAGCACTCTTCGCTCGATCTCCGTCAGTTGCAGAATCGTAGTATCCGCTAGTGTTACCTGGACGCCGGCGGAGTTCACCCACGTGTTCTTCATCTGCACATAAAAAATACAAATAAAAACTAACCGTAAAATAACAGCTCCGCAAACTGACAAACGTCGCAGATCCGGGATTTAACCTACACAAAAACACACTGACTTACAAAAAAAAACAGAATCCATTATGGCTTTCAAATCCCGACGGTGTGGAAAAAAGGAACTATTAAAGCATGCTTCACCTCACACCGGAAACAAAAACACTTTGGATCTAGAGTCCAGACTCGCGATCTTGAAAACATTGACAAGAAAAAATACTCTTGATTCAATCAGATTTAAGCTTAAATCAAAAGGAAATCCGCTCAAATTAAGAGGCTTGGTTCTTGATTTAAGAAAAAATCCAATTGAATCAAGAGTACTTTTTCTTGTCGATGTTTTTAAGATTCTGGACTCAAGATCCAATGTGTCTTATTTTTCAGTGCAAATCCGCAAGATCATTGGTGGCGCAGGGTGAAAGATTTCTACCAGCAGAGGAAACGTTTCCGCAATATTTTACTCTACTAGGAATGACAGGGAGGAATTTAATGCGTTTCAACTTTTCTACCATCAACGAGTTTGTTTTTCTTTTGACGTGAACGCCTGATTAAAACGAGCAGACTGGAAGCTCAACGCTGTTTTGTGATTAATACGTTAAAAAATGGCAGAAAAATTGAGCTACGCCATTGCTGCTGCAATTTTCAAAATTGTCTGGCAATTGCTATTCCCTTGTGTGAATCGTTTTCTACGTAAAATTTTGAGGAAGGAAACATGCCGATGGCTAGAAGGCAAAACGACGTACCTCCATTCGCGACGTCGCACACTGGAATGGGTCAATGGGAGAGGTCGGACAAAATTTGGAAACTTTAAACGCTTATAACTCTGCTCATACACAACTTTGAGGTTCTTAAAGTGGTTCCATCGGTTCCCTCGTGAAATTTTCTTCCGTTAACACCCCTTGAAATATATAATGCGATGAAATAACATCCAAAATTTGCAGTTTCAGTCAAAAATTTTATGTTCGACCTCTCTGATTGACTCAATCTACTGTGCGTCGCAGACTCCTTGGCATACTTTATTTCTTCTTAAGAATTCTTGTCAACGTAATTCTTGAATTTCCTTGAATTTTCTTCTCTGTAAGTATAGAATATTCTGTATAAATTTCAAGTTATCGAAGTCTTATCGTTCCTCTCAGATGAAAATAGGAGCGTAAATTTTGATACACTGCGATGGAGACATGTGGTTTTGCACTACAGTCATTGTTGTGACGTTTTCTTCAAGCTCAGACCTTGTCTAGTCACCCATTGAATCATTGCGCTTTAGTGAACAGAGGCGGATCCAGCAATTTGGCAACACCGGATTTCCTCCTTTTAAACCTATGTTAAATAATCGATTCTTCTCGGAGCCTGGCCCCTACAAGAATCGATACATTTCCATTGGCTGAAAGGGGGAAAAAACAATGTTGCCAATTTTCCGGATTTAGTGAACGATCGAAACAAGCAAACATGTAAGTTTTGGCCGTGCGAGTACCTATTTTTTTTTTTTTTTTTTTTTTTTTTTTTTTTGTAAATTACCCTAGGCTAGACGAAATGGCAAGTCGTCGAAGTCAAAAGAGACTGCAAGGGAAGAGCTTGGTTGCCCCGAACCAGGTTGCCAAGTCATGCTATTAAAAATTGATATCTTAAAAGTGTTAACATAGAAAAATTGCTACTTTTTCAGCACTATCTGACAACCATAACCCCGAAACTGTCGCGCGACACATCCTAGTCCCAGCCTCGTCTCTCTCCGGCGAGGCGTAGAGGCTGCTCGTGACGTCCAGACGTGGGGACGCACTCAAATTCGTTCTTCAACAGCCTCATTGCCCGTTCGCATTTAAAATTTGGCTACATTTTGCAATTAGAAACTTCAATCTCTGGCTCATCTTAGACGCAACATACGTGCCCTATGCAGAAACGTGTTTTTATGCATGAGACAGAAGGTGTAGTTCCAAATCACAAAATGTATAGTCTAAATAGACTGTTCGACAGAACGAGAATTGAAGCGGCACAATGAATCTTTCCCTATCAAAATTTCCTGTAGAATATTGGACGTTGAAACTTGTGATTTGGACGGATCTTATTATTTTTAGCTGATCTACAAGAATCAAGCATCAAAACACGATTTTGGGACCAGCACAACCAAGCACAACTGACCCATTGGCAGCATAGAATAATGGAGCAATGCAAGTTCACGCGTCGCGCCATCGCGCCTTCAATTTTGCAGACGCAACACGGACATCCATCAAGCACGAATAGTTGTATCTCTGCGCCGTCGTCAACGGGCGCCTTTTGCGCTGCTCTATTGTCATTATCTGTTGGTTCCGTTTGTCTCATTTGTAGTGGTGCTTAGCTCAAAAACAAAAAGGATTTTCAGTGGACCAATCCGATTGAACCGACATTTTTCGAGCCACCCGTTAGATATTCAGCTAGAGTGGTGATTATGTCAATTATAACCATGTTTCAAACTGTCCGAAGCTTTTCATTTTTCTCATCAGGCAGCGTCCGTGATCAGCTGATGACAGACGGGATTTAGCGAGGATATTGAGGAGAGCTGGTCTCTGGCAACCCCAAGCAAATATGGACGGTGTTTTACGTAACTAAACCCAAATGACATGAGCTGAGAAAAGAGAATAATAGGTTTGAATTTGTATGTTTCTCCGCAAGGCTCAAGATGAAACTGTCGGACTTAAAATTTTCAACACGTGAAAATATCCCGCAAGACGAGCTTAGAACTATCCTTGACTGAATTAGATGTCATACATATCCCTTGTCCCTCCCTTTTCTTTCCGGTTAACAATCCTTACATATTTGTTTACCGGTCACTGAATCCGGAGAGAGAAAAAAAGAGACTTTTGGTAAGGAAATAACACTTTGAGATAAGTCGAAGGCAAAGTAGAAACTTTATAACATAGAAATATCATAAATTATAGGCGTAAACAAAATTGGCTTTATTCAAGAGGGCAGACAAATGCAGACTCCTTCACGTCGGAATTCTCTCTGGTGAAGTGGAAAGCATGATGATGATGAATATGAATTGGCCGATTCTCCTCTATGATATCAACATGATATTAGTACGGTATCAGTATGATTTCAGCATGACATCAGTATGGTATGATACTAGCAGGTCACTATGCTATTAGCATGTCGGTATGATATCATGATCGGAGCATACTGACTGATATCTAACTATCGTATCAGGGGTTGTATCACTCTGAATGAGATGGTTCGAAACGATATATCCTCATTAATTAAACACCGCAATATCAATATACTTATGACTTCCTTCTTTGATTATCTTTCCAAATGGAGGAAGAATTATTTGCTCGAACGTGCACATAATTCAAGCTCTAGCATCTGCTAGCGGGTTTCCTTGTAAAATGGACCCCCCTGGAGTAACACTCTTGGCACCCCCCAGAATATTGCTAACGTCAAAGCTTCAATGTATGATTTCCGCCTGCTCAACGCGAGACTACACTGTAATCAAAGTGATTCATGCAGGCAAAAAACATTTGTGATGATTAATCACCCTGTCATGACTAACATCAAGTTCCATCTTGAACATCACTCTTCCTGGTTACTTACAACTATACTAGAAACTCGGTTTCAGTAGAGAGAACTAATTAGTGGTCGACTAAATAATACGGTTTTATACGGCGTTGGTTATTTTACGTCAATTTCTGCAATATTTTGTGGTTTCATAATACACATTGAACTTATAACTGCTGATTTACACTTTATAGTTCCGATGTCAATATTTGTGGGATAATGTCGGGCAAAAAGGCTCTTCAGATTTTAAAAAAATGATATATATACCACAAGAGGGTTATGCATCATGTAGCGTTGATAACAACCAGTATAATCCTAAATACTGATCCTTTGGAGATAATTTAAAGTTTGGGCACGAAAAATGGGGAATTTGAGTAAGCGGCTGTTAAGGTTTCACGCGGCGGTTTAAGGCGCCGTTGCCATTTTCAAAATGATTCACCTCAAACTTTTCCAACATCATCAATTATGCAAATTGAAAGCTTACATTGACCCAATTTTCTTACGACTATTATGGATAGCTTTTATCATTGAAGACTGAACATCGATATTTCTCACACCAACTGGGATCTCTACCGGATTGAATAATTTAAATTTTCACTCTAAAGGGTATTTTGTCAGACTTCATCACACACGGAGAAAAAAACTTCGTGCGTGGGACCCGAAGTTGAGGTCATATGGATCTCTGAAGTTTTTGGATCACGTATCTGAAAACTTGAGGTGCAGCTGCCGAAATTCGGGTCAGACATCTGAAGTACTTCGATATATACCAAAGGGTTTGGGTCACACATCTGAAGTACTCCGGTACATACTGAAGTGCCTCGATGTCTGACCCGAACTTCGGCAGCTCGACCTCAAGTTTTCGGATGCGTGATCCGAAAACTTCTGAAATCCATATGACTTCAACTTCGGGTCCAATGCACGAAGTTTTTTTCTCCGTGCATTTGATTAATATTTGGTGGCGAGGTGCTCAGTCCCCCTACACGGAGAAAAAAAACTCGTGCGTGGGATCCGAAGTTTAGGTCATATGGATCTCTAAAGTTTTCGGATTGAGCATCTGAACACTTTAGGTCTAGCCGTCGAGGTTCGGATCACACATCTGAAACTTCAGTTCTTACATCTGAAGTACTTCAGATGTGAGAACCGAAGTTTTTCGGATGTGAAAACCAAGGTACTTCAGACGTAAGAACTGAAGTCTCAGATGTGTGATCCAAACCTCAGCAGCTGGACCTAAAGTGTTCAGATGCTCAATCCGAAAACTTCAGAGATCCGTATGACCTAAACTTCGGGTCCCACGCACGAAGTTTTTTTCTCCGTGTAGTACCCTCGTAAAATCGTCTGAGATCACCGATGCTGATTAGAAAGCCGACTGAAAAACTTTGTTAAGTTGGCAACGTAGCTGACAATGAGTTTGAGCTCGGAGAAGGCGAAAACAATAATTCCTTTTCATTCACACGGCGACGGTGGCGTTCGTGACTTGCGGCGGAGAGGCTGAGCGCTCTAAAAATAGTCGGCGTAAACCTGGCGATAAAACTAAATTTAACGACAGAATTTTGAACCTAACAGACGCTCCTCTCTCTTCACGCAACATGAACTTGGCCTAGTTCTTAAAGGTAATTAAAGTGGCACGCTCCTATCAAAGTCGTCACGACCGACGTCATAGGAGAGTGATTTAATAATCGCATGCCACGCATATATCATCCTCATAATCCTACCTAGTTTCCCCTAACCGGCCTAACCTAGAGCCGTTGTGCCGCTCGCTCAGCCTAGAATGTCTTTATAAGGAAAATACGAGGTTTCTGCAATGGACCACTAGACAAGGTACGAATTTAAGCATTCTGATACATGTTTCCAAGTCAGAATTTCACCTAGAGCACGATTTGCACAACGAAAATTACTTAAACCAACTCCTAACGCAGATATCAACGTTTTTATATCACATTGATTACGAGGAATTTGAACTGCCCGCTCACAAGAAACTCAAAGCTCTACGTGAGTCAAATCGCGCACTACAACGGTTTCAGCAAGCTTCTCAATCGAGCAATGTTCATGTCTCACCATGTGTTGTTCAAACTATAAGAAATTTGCTACAGCTGAGCCAAAGCGTCAAGATTGAGGTTGCCAGATTTGTATATCGTAGAGACTGCCATGATAACGATGTGAATCACGTAGAGCATTGAGTTTTCACGAGCGGGTGGTTTGAATTCACGCATTAAGAATCATTGAATATCTTTGGAAGAAGTTAATTACGGTAATTTTCGTTGTGGGCGTCGTATTTTACGTGAAATTTTAGTTAAGAAACATGTATCAGAATGCTGAAATTCGTACCTTGTCTAGTGGTCTATTAACCTTTCTACTTTTTTCAGAATAAATTTTCGCAAAAGACACGATGGTGCCCTCGGTTGTATCTAAAATGAATTCCTAATGCTCAAAAAAAGCTCTCAAAGTTGAAACCATAGTGGATGGGAAACCCCCCTCCCCCCACTCCCGTTAAGCACAGAGTCTATAATTGGTCGAACTCTCTACCAATTGATAGGGATCACATACATAGCAGTGGAGCAAATTTGACTAGGGACTCCAGGGCTAAACCACACGGCTACCCTGCAATGTACTTTTACCCTATCTGTGAATAAAGTCAGAATCGGATCCAGCAATTTGGCAACACCGGATTCCCTCCATTTAAATCTATGCTATATAATCGATTTTCGTCGGAGCACCTGACCCCTCCAAAAATCGATCCATTTTCATAGGTTTAAATGGAGGAAAGACAATGTTACCGCTTTGCTGGATACACCAATGAATAAAATGTTTGATTGGATGTAGCTTCTTTTGAGCTTGAGAGTTCATTTCGGACCTACCAGTGGCATCACCGTACTTCTCACAAAAATTTACTCAAGATACTTATTACTGTACTTTAATTGCAATTCCTTCACGCATTCAAGAGCTGCATCGCTAGGAATTTGCGGGAAAGATTCTTTCCGCAGCTAAAATTCCCCTCGAAAGAATTACAGTTTTTCTTCCAACGTTGTAATGTACGAAATTCTGACAAAGTTACGAGGCAGTTTAGTGAATCTCTCTTTGAACTACTTGATAAGTAAATAAAATAAAAAATATTGGAAACTCGTTTTACAACTTCCAAAGTCTAACAGTGATCAAAACTTCTGAACAATAATCATGTGCGAATGCATGCACTCTTTCCTCTCAGCCTGGTACGGATCATTGACTTGAAAGTCAATGAACGGCATGTACACGACACCCACCCACGGTCTACGCACGAATGAAGTTGATGTTTGGCGCCTGGTGCCTACCATGTACCCTGATTTTGCGATCTTTGAAACTTTGAAATTTCATCGTCCACCATTCCTTATCTCTATAGATATATTTTCGCACAGCTGGATCTGATTTTACAATTAGAAACTACAAAATCTGGCTCATTTAAGAAAATACGAATATGCCACTCGTTTCGTATGTTTATTGGTGTTTTCATAGATGAGTCAGAAATTTTAGTCCTTAATTGCAAAATATGGCCCGGTTAATTTTTTTTCTATCTCTTATCAGAGGCTTCGATACCAACCTGGCGACCACTGCAGGTTGAGCGTATCCTTTCCCAATTTTCGAGAGATAAATGAAGGTTAGTCTCTAAATTTTACAATATCCCTATTTCGCCCTCGATTTTATTTCTCCAATTTTCGAACAACAGTCGTTCTCATCCTTTCTTCGCGGCTAAAGACGAGGCGTGCATGGTCGACTATCGATGTTTCCCCATTTGAAACTATGGTAAAGAATCGATTATTAAGGCGTTCGTTGCGAGCACCTTGTTATCAATCCTTTTCCATAGGTTTAAATGGCAGATCAATGGATATGTCGCAAAGCACGCCACGCCGCTGCATCACGGAGGTTTGACCCTTTTTCCTCCTTTCTTTTTCAGGCGCGTTCCTGATGCCCGACCCCTGGAGGACGTAATAAAAGTGTTGCGTGTGTGAGGAATTTGCGATTTGACTATTGAATCTTATGTAAAAGTTCGCGAGAAACACGATGGTGCCACTGGTTTTCTCTGAAATTAACTCCCAAGCTCAAAAAAAGCTCTCAAGTTGAGGCCAAAATGGAGGGAATATCTCACGCCATCCTGAGATACATCAAGACAAGAGTCCCCAAATATAATGGCAGCCCTGTCAATGTATTTGCTGCCTATCTTTGCATGGAGAGTTTGTCTTGATGTAGAGGTGGACTTTCAGGGTAGCGTGGGATATCCCCTCCATTTTGGCCTCAACTTGAGAGCTTTTTTTGAGCTTGGTAGTTAATTTCAGAAAAAACCAGTGGCTCCATCGTGTTTCTCGCGAACTTTTACATAAGAATCAACAGTCAAATCGCAAATTCCTCACACATGCAACATTTCAATTTTTGACGGCGAATCTGTAAATATTGCATTGAAATGAGTAAGTAAACGTGACTCACCTGCGGGTGGGGCGACCAGAAAGGCGTGACGGTGACAGCTATCCGAGGCTGGCTCTTGGATCGGGACTTCCAGATCTTCTTGGAGACGAGGCGGCTGCCCTGCTGGACCATGTTGGAGGTGGACTTGGACGCCTTTTGCATGCCGGGGGAGCCGGAACTTCCACCACCGGAACCACCGCCGGGCGGAGCTGTCGACACACAAGGAGAGTTGGTCACATTCGGGTGGGAAGGGTGCAAGCCGTGCAAAAGGTTCGACAAGAAGCTCTGTCCGGAGCTCAGAATCCCGGACGGAGACTTGACGAGGCTCGCCGGCGAGAGAGGCGGCGATAGAGTGTCGTCCAGCTCCGTCGTTGACGTCGCTGTCGTGACGTCGAAGCTGCTCCGAGAACTCGGGAACTCCTCGCTGAGCTTGAAGTCCTTGAGGACGGACACCCAGGACTCCTCCGTCTGCTCGTTCTTGTTGAACTCGTCCAGGTCGGACACCGGCGGGATGTCCCCCTTCGACTTGATGTTCCGGATGTTCTTGTCGTAGTTGACCCGCTTGAACCGGTCCGCCTTGTCCGAGTCGATGCTCTTCTTCCGGGCCATCCGCAGGTACCGTCGGATCGTGTCGCTCACCGACGGCGATATATCATCGTTGTCGACACTGCTTCGTCTGGTCACCGTACCAGTTGGCGAGCGCGGCGAGATGAGCTCCCTGGGCTCTTCGGCTTCTTGTTTCATCGCTTTCAGCTTCCTCAGCTCGTCCTCGATGTAGGCCTGGAGACTGCTCGAGATGGGCTCCGTCTGGGTGCCGGCCTCTTTGGCCTTCGGCTCGGGTTTGGCCTCCGGTTTCTCCTCCTCCTTGGTGGTGGACTTGACTTCGTCCACCTTCTCGAGGAACTCGGAGACTCCGTTACCGGCGGCGTCGAAGTCGAGCCGCCACGAGGGCTGCCAGGAGGTGAGGTTGCTGTAGCCGCCCGGGACGACCAGCCCCGTGCCCCGCCGGCCGGCCGTGAAGCCGCGGGCTTTGCGCAGGTCGAAGTAGAGCCGCTCCAAGAGCTTCCTGTCGGTGAGCAGGTCGCTGATGACCCGCTCCTTGGACGTGGACTTGCTGAAGTGCCGCCGGAGGGTCTCCAGGAGCATGAGCTGGGTTTTGTCACCCTCGAAGTGGACGCTGGCGCGGTGGGTCCGTCGATCCTTCGAGGCGATCTTGTCGATGGTGTTGAGGTGCTCTCGGAGCTTCTCCAAGAGCTCCGTGTGGTTGATGGAGCGCTGGGCGGGCGAGATCTCCGCGGCGTTCGTGGAGTCTTTCTCGTTGAGGTACATCTGGACGGTGCTGAGTAGGAGGGCGTCCTCCTCGACGTTGCTAAGCGACTCGGAGGACTCGGAAGGGGGCGCCGGGGTCGGCGCTGTGGGCAATTTGGTAGTACCTTGGAGGAAGTCTCGCTTGAGTTTCTGGACATCGAAGCGGCCTCCAGAGGTGGCGGTCATTTCCAGGAGGCCCAAGTTGGTTCGGGCGGCGACGTCCTCGGCCTCGTCGGCGGAGCTGGTCGTCTTGTCCCGGCAGCTCCCGCCTTTCTTGAGTCGGCCCCCCCGGCTCCGGCCGCGAGATCGGAAGCCGAGGGCTCCAGGATAGGACTGCTTGCGCCAGAGGAGGAAGCGGGGCTCCCGGTGGCAGACCTCCTGGAAGTAGGCCTCGATCTTGGGAATGTCTTCCAGGCGGTTGTGCGCCCCGTCCGGGATGAGCTTCCGCCCGGCGTCGGCCATGTAGCGCCATGTCTTCCGCGTGAGCAGCCATCGCTCCAGCTTCTGCCCTTTCGTCCGCTTTTCTTTCACGCTTTCTTTCGGGCTGGCGGGATCGCTTTTGCCCTTGGAGGTTTTCTCCTCTTTCGGGTGCTCGCGATGGACCTCCAACTCGTGCACGACCGTCCGGGACTTGGGCACCTTGTGCGTGATCACTTTGTGCTTAGCACCTGATGAACCTCTCCGTATGATCGGCTTCATCCTGTCGCCCATTGTAATCACAATGGCGTCGTCATTTGTGCTTTCCGCCGTCGAACCGTCGCAGGGATTTGTACCGCCGGTAGGCGTGCGGCACGCCCCTCGAGATCAGATCAAATTTTAGCTCCACATTCCGCTTCGCATGATACATATTGCTTGTATTCTCCAGTCGACAACTTAAGCAGAGTTGCCGAAATGGTAGAATTCAGTAAATGCGTAGCTTTTCAACAGAACGAATTTTCAAGTTCATTACTTTATCAACAACTTAGGTAAAGGTTTTAATTTTTTATTCAGGGCATTGAATTAAAATTCATTTGAGAATCCTGCCTTTCAACAGAGTTCGCGAACTGTTTCATTTTATCAATCGTTTTACGCACTTCCTGAAAAACAGAGCGTCAAGAACGAGTTCATCGTTTATGCTTGCACGAGCTTGCGAAAAACCACCAACATCCAACCCAGTTGTTCGGAGATTTACGTTCTGTTCTAAGTCTCCATCCGGGGAAAAGAGAGAAAAGTTTCAATACAAGGCAAATTCGTCTTAACTTCCGGTTTGAACTTTCACGAAATCTCTGAAAAAATGTTTTTGTACTAAGCGCTGCCTACGGAGATAAAAGTTAGTGAATGAACAGGTGCCAGTGAAAGATGTTTAGAAACACCACCTCCTCCCCCTCTTCATTTCTTTAACGCCGCCTTGAAGAAGTGAGTTGGCAATGGAAGGAGAGGTGGTGGCCCCAACTTTTAATCACCTATTTAACCTGTCTATTCTACCGCGGGAGAATTGGGTTCGCTGCAGCACAAAGAGTCGAAGTTGTAAATTACTCGTTTGGTTTTCTTTTCTTTCCGTGGAACATAATTGCACGAAAATAATGAGGCTTCTAACATAGAGCAATGCCAAAATTTTGGGACCATACTAAGCTTGCCCTCGCTACTTTTTCGTGGAAGAAGGTGAAAGTAGGATGAATGAGATCATGACTACCGAGCAACGAAAGAGGCGGGGAGAGGTGGAGAAAATAGAGAGAGCGCGGAGATGAAATGGGGAAAGTGAATAGAATTCCTGAAATGAAAAGTGATTCGTTATATACTAACGCGGGAGTTTCCTCCTAAATCTCAAAATAAAATAACCTCATTTCCTTGGAAATTAGTTTACAGCACTAAAAAAACTGACAAGAAGAGCGCTATGTTCGATCGATCGATTAATATAACTGAATCTAAAATATTGTGTTCCCATTCTTGTTTTCATCCGAAAAGCCGAGAGATGTAAGGTAATATTTTATTGTGTGTTAGGCATTATTATTCAATTTTAAAATGAAACTGAAATTAATTCCTGCATGCATGACTTAATACGAAAAACTGGAGGGTAACCGTTTGCAACATTCACGCGGTCCGATTATTATTAAAGTTATACATAGATTAATTGTTGTATATTTGTACTTAGACCATCATATAGCGCTATAATTCCAAATTTGGAGATGCTTTGATAAAATATCTCAATATTTAAGGCAAGGTTCACTTAATGAACCGATAACGCATCTCTAAATTAACGCCTGTGGACAAATTAAGGCCTGTTAATTATAATGTTGAGTCTCTTGACAATTTACAGCGTATAGGCATTTAGGCATATCGGTAAAAGGGTCCATTAAGACCAAATTGAGAGGGGAAAAATTTCGATTTTAAAATTATCAACTTCATCATTCGAATACTCGTTAGGCATTGTGGCGCTACCTCCAAAATTGTATTATTTGATATTTTTGTCAAGCAAAGAGTAACTTCTCATCTTAAATCTAACTTGATCCTTAATCATGGTGCAATTTGATATATCAAAATGGAGACACCTAGCAGGTTAAAATAATAATGATTTTAAATCGAGCAACTTTAGCACAGATTGCAGCGTACTAAATAGTTGAGAAATAGATGGAAAATAGATAAGAAAATAGAAAATAGAAAAAGATCTGCAGCAAATCTTCTCCGGCACCCTTTAAGTATTCGGAATGTTTGAAGATCCCCAGGTTTTCGTTTCAACAACTGTAGGTAAAATCTGAAAAGGGTATCGTGCAAAAGAAAAAAAATTCCATTTCTGCTAGGGCATCTTATGACATTTTAGAGAAGTAAGAAGTTCCCCTAACCTTTTCTTGGCCTTATAGCTATACAGACAACACATTCCTGTAAAAAACTGTTCGAATTTACAATATTTACTATCAGCATCATCAGTAGTTTTACTTTCTTCCAAATCCGAAATAATTATCATACGAATGAAATCAGTTCCGGTTTTTGTTCCACTTTCCACTCCGGCTTTTGTCATTCCTTTTGAATTTTTAGCGCATAACTAAGTTTACCGGCAAACTTTTAAAAATAAAAAAGTACCGATGACGATATCGTGGTAAAATAATGATTAAATATTCGACTATAGTTGAGGGTTTGGCCGGAGGCCAAGTGTCCTATTTCTCGGACGGCGGACAAGCCGACAACCCGAGTTTATCTGTTACCATGCCATACTTTTCCCTCCATTTATTTTTCAAGTGAAATTGTACAAATCATCTTATCCAATCGAGTTTCCGACCGGATTTATTTATAGAATTTTAAGTGATTAAATTGTTAGTGCTTTCTCCGTGTTTAACCTCTTTTTCTAAGTGGTCCCCACTTGTCCATCAGCCGTCGCGTCGCGTCCGACCCCCATAGCCGTTGCCGATTTCACCTTATAATTCCGCTTTTAACCTAAAATTCTACGGTTCCTCTTCAAGAGATACATACAGTTGGCAACCGCCCTCGCGACGTCTCCCAGTGTAATCGAAATCCTCGGAAAACAGCATTTCCTCCGAGTCAAACCTGTGGATTTTCACTTTCTGTTAGAATTTATGGGTGAAAATTTAGTCGGGATTGCCAAATTTCTTCTCGATTTGATCGCGAAAGGTATAGTAGTGGTGAAACAGGGACAGTTCTTGAAATTTGGCATCACTGGGCTTCGTCCATTCGAATTTGGGTGAAATTATCGATATTTAGCAACTCTAGAATGGCTCAGGCTACCTCACAGAGAATCGATCATTTATAATGAGTTTAATTGGAGGGGGGGGGGTGTGTCAGTGCGGGAAAGAATCGCACTGTAGGTGCGAGTGACGAGATAAGATTTATCAAAGCTTCAACTGATCGATGGCTGATAGAATTCAGCGAAAAGGGATGGAATTTTTTGGAAAGCAAGAGATTGGTGATGGTTAAGTGACAGTATTTCACATGAGTGCCAATATTAATAAATAACCCCTAGGTCTCTTTCTTTGATTGAAGAAGCGAACTTTCACTTTATCCTATTCCATGTAGTTCATATTTGCTCTTTTTTCAGTCAGCAGAAAAGAACCACTTTAAGATTAATACCCAGATAGTACTCTACGATATGGTATTTTAGGTATTCACCAGCTAAGAATGACTGGAATCTGCCCTCGAAGTTGTGGCAAGATCACCAAAATCTTCAAAATTTTGATTGAAAGAACTTTCGATTAAGGTTGGTCGGTAAGGAAAGGTCGTTAAATTAGGTTATTATTGACTGCGACAGCACAATGGAACTCGCATTTCAGAGACCGTTGCAAAAGTTTCAGGATTTTCGAGTCGTTCATTCTTTCCTGACATATGACGTATGACGGAGGTGTCATGCGCAAAATAACAAAAATACTTTGGACCCTCGTCAGAGTCATAAAGTAGTGTTAGTGCATCACACCTCTTAAATATAATTTTAAATGCAATTAACGCTGTGACGTTATAGCGTGGCGTATATATTTGCTTTTATGACCGGTTAATGTGTTAACGACCGAGGTTCTCATGTGTATAGATGAAGAGGAAAAAATAATGTTTTTTTTTTAATCTCACTCTATGCATATAACATGATGCGTATCGTTTGTTTCGAATTGCATTGATACTTCAGCGACATCGTCTTAGGGAGGATAGTGANGGGGGGGGGGGGGGGGAGCAAGAAAGAAAGAAAAAAGATTAACAGAAGAAAAAGAGGGGAATTATTTCTTAGTCGGTCCATCTTCTGAAATTTGCCATTTAAACCACTGTAGGTACTGTACCTTCATGGCGGCATTCGGTATTTTTGTGAATACTTTATACAGAAAATTCAAAAAGCCATGTTGATCGGGCATGTCTCTGAAGAAGTGCATTGTTTCTATCTTTCTCTCTCCCCCTCTCCCTACCAACACCCAAGCTAGCTGCGCATTCAATTAGTTCTCTCATTGTCAGACAAAAAGCGCAATACAACTATTTCAACTTCAAAGTCGCTTAAATTGCATAGCAATCGAGTTTAAGGCGCAGTGAGTTTCTCGTCGTATTTTCATTGTTACTGTCTCGTTTACAGATGAACGCTGACATCAGAGACAAAAATGCGTGACACTACCATTGCTTCTTGTTTTTCTCTTTGAAATGTTAGACATTTTTTCACATATTGACAAATAGCTGAAGTTTCCTTTTCCCATTGTAGTAAAATGTACACGAAACTTACGAAGTAGTTAAGAGAGGACAAGGGAAAAATAACTTAGCGCTGAGCCCTAACATTGTAGGCGAAACAGCACCAACTACAGAAATAGTAGTTCCTCATTGCAAAATGTTGGCAAATATTGCAAAATGCGGCACAATTTTTTGCACAAAACATTTTGCCGAACGCTACCTCGAATAAAGTTGTAGGTTAATTTATGAGCTTACAAATTTTGATTTTAAGATTCTTACATTGATCGCTTCCATTCCAGACAATATACCGTCAAAAAATGATATTTGAGCGACACATAGAGTAATTTTTTTACATTTTGCAATGAGAAACTACTACCTCTGGTTCGGGAAACTAGTGACACGTTATGTGCCACTGGTCTTTTTGTTCTAAATTTAGCCGGGAATTGTAGTTTCTTATGGCAAAATTTAGACTTAAATTCGGCTACACCGTAAGATTGCAACTCCGTGCAGCGTGGAGCTATAACGTCAAGCTCTCTGGGCAAGTATTCGTGGAAACTGAGCATTGTCGCACCCGAAGCCGATATTGCTGAAATAGAATTGAGCGGAATTTCATTTCAGCGCCAGATCCGTCCGTCCAGCTCTTCCATACACAATAGAGACACAATTGGATTACGTTTTGCGATAAAGAACCACTATTTCTGGCCAATTTTAGAAACAACATGCATGCCATTAATTTTCCTATGCAGATATGTGCTTTTATTAGAGAGCCAGGGATAGTAGTTCCTAACTGCAAAATGTAATCCAATTATCCTCGAAAACTTAACATCCGAACGAGGCAAAACCGAAATTCCCACTATGCTTTCGTCAATCACCCTTCGAATTTCACATAGGAAGAATAAGGCAAAGGATTCATCGAATCGATAACCCAGACAGGTAAACCCAAATGTAACAT